AAAGTGGATAAAAGTGGATAAAAGTGATTAAAAGTGGATACAAGTGGATACAAGTGAATGAAAGTGAATGAAAATGAATGAAAGTGAATGAAAGTAAATGAAAGTGGATAAAAGTGGATAAAAGTGAATGAAAGTGAATCAGTGAATGAGTGAATAAATGAGAAATCAAGTAGATACATTAATTTATAGAGTAGGTGAATGAATAAGTGAATGAACGAAGGATTAAGTGAATGCGAAAGTAATTGGTTAAATGAATGAACATAGTAAATTAATGAACGAGAGATTAAGTGGATAAGTGAATGAAGATAGTAAATTAATGAATGAGAGAGTAAGTGAAAGAGTAATGAAGAGAGTAGGTAAATGAATGAGAAAGTGAATGAATGAGAAAATGAATGAAACAGAGATTAAGTGAATGAGTGAATGAAGAGAGAAAGTGAATGAATGAATGAAGAAAGTAAATTAAGGAATGAGAGATTAAGTGAATGAACGAGAGAGTGAGTGAATTAAAAGAGTAGGTGAATGAACAAGAGAGCAAGTGATTGAAAGAGAGAGTAAGTGAATGAACGAGTGATTCAGTGAGTGAAGAGAGCAAGTAAATTAATGAATGAATGAGTGAATGAATGAAACAGAAAGTGAATTAGCTAATAAATTAATGAAGTAATGAATGAGAGAGAACGTGAATAAATGAATGAAAGAGAACGTTAATTAGTGAATAAATGAATGAATGAATGAGAAAGTGAATGAATGACAGAGAAAGTGAATTAGTGAATGAATGAAAGTGACTGAAAGTAAATGAAAGCGAGTGAAAGTAAATGAAAGTGGATAAAAGTGAATGAAAGTGAATGAAAGTGAATGAAAGTGAATGAAAGTGAATGAAAGTGAATGAAAGTGAATGAGTGAATGAGTGAATAAAAGAAAGTGAATTAGTGAATGAGGAAAGTAAGTGAATGAATAAAAGGGTAAGCGAATGATTGTCCTGGCCTGAAAGTATTGCTAGAAGAACGCCGTACTGTTGAGCTTAGTTCTGTCACTGGAATGGCGGCCCAGTTTAGCGCACCTTCTTGAATCTACTACTCACAGCCTACTTATGTCAGTATGGGAACAATTAATTCGTTAGTCCCGAATTAACGCCTTCTCTGGCCTGTCGTGAATTCAATCCAGGGTTGTCGAAACATGCGAGAGAATACTTATTTCCCAGCCTTTACTTTCGCATGGAAGTATGCCTGACGAAGATTCGTGCCCCAGTCTATCCAGACGACGACAGCGGCTTTGATACACCATTCCGATTGACGAACTCCACGTGGCATGCCCCAACGCTTCGGGCGAAAAGCGTCAACCTGAACGTCGTAGCAACGTTCAGCCTGTTAAGACTGAGCCACGAATCTTTGTGTCAGTAACACTTTCATGAGACATTAAATTCTTCACACCAATCCTTGGGGGAAAGGTTTTGGTATCTCGCATTTTTCGGCCAATCTACAAACCAAGTTTAGCCCATTGCCACGGCAACCGAAAGACACCGCCTCGGTGACCCGTGGGAGGTACAGTCGGGCTGTGAGGGCCGGGGGTTCGTAAGTTGGCCGCCCCGAAAGCCGACCGAGGATCGCTTCGGCGCTCTGATTGTATGCTTGTGCGAGCTGGTCATTTTTCGTCCGTCTGCCAAGAAAGATCCCACAAACAAAAAACTATGACACCAAGACAACACCGCCGGCCGTTTGCAATCCCACCAACTTGTTGTAGTTCAACCTTGTCCGCTTGTCGAAGCGTCTCACGAAGCCGCGATTCAAAGAGCCCTTTGCCGAGTCCCGTAACGCGTAGGCGTACAAGCGGACAGATATATCTGAATGCAGACACACACATGTGTATGTGTGTATGTTTGTACGTTTGCCTGTACCTACACGCAGACAGACACAGGCACATTGCACACATACAGACAGAGACAATGGACCAGCAACATGGTCCGTGGAGGATCCAGCAGACGGCGAGGTAGGCAGGCAAATGGACGACAGAGCGAGGACAGGAAACGATGAGTTTGATGAAGCGGAGCTAGAACTGCGAGGTGGCGCATAACCGGCAAAAGATGAACCCGAAAGTTGGTACACAAGCCGCACAAAAGGCAGGCAGGTACGGACATGCACCGAGAGAACATGCTGTATGGAAGAGATGGTGAAAGGGCCAAGAGACGCATAGCTCGAGGAGGAAAGAGAGAGATATATATATATAGAAAGAGAAAGAGAGAGAGAGAATCGGTGGAATAAGATGGAAGAGTGAAAGAGCGACAGTCTAAATAAAGCCATTAGATGACGTCAACAGACTAGACGACGCGCTGGCACGACAAGAAGCCAAACTGATTATCTCTATCCCTGTGTGTATGTGTGCGTGTGTGTGCATAGTATAGACGCGCCTTAAGGCAAGTCAGGTCAGTTAAGAGAGACAGCCGAGACTAGCAGCTACGTCAGCAGTGAATGTGATGCCAGTGCCAAAGCTGACTGTTGGTCTGGTCGTGTGTGTGTGTGTGTGTGTGTTAGTGTGTGTAATAGCGTATGTGGGCTCTTGTGTGAAAAAGCAGTGCGGAAAATGGAGCGAGACCTTGTCAGGAAATTGGGGCAGACAAATTCGCCTGAACTCGGGAGAAATTGC